GTCCCGGGGGCCAAACCCCACCTGTGTTGGGGACAGAGGAGGCGCTGGTAGAGCCGATGCTGTTGGCCCGGGACACTATGCTGCTTTTCCGGGCGTTCTCCATGAAGAGCGCTGAAACAAGAGTGTCCCGGGGTCAGTGCCCAGCGCAGGGTGTCACCGGACGCAGGAACAGGGGGTGTCCCCGGGTGGCCGCTGCCACCCTGGCGCGGGGGTGGCACCTACCGGAGTCCAGGCCATTGTCGCCGTAGGCCGCGTCCACCTGCGCGGGGCCGGTGGAGACACGTCAGCGGGGCCGGGCTGCGACCGCGGCCCGGACCCCGAAGCCCCCCCGGACCCGCCCGAGCAGTGCCCGCCACCCCCGGGCTGCGTCCCCGCTGGGATCTCCGGCCGCCGCCCCCCACACAGGCAGCGATCCCCCGCGCGCTCCTCGCCCCGGCGCTCATCCCGCCCGCCTGCCCGCCCTCCATGGCGCCCGCCCGTCGCCCCGTGGCCCCGGCGGCGCTCCCGGCCCGGCCCCACCTTCCCCCACGGGTCCTCGCCCCCGCCCGGCGGCTCCGCCATCTTCCGCCCGCCCGGTCATGTGACCGCCGCGGGGGCCGACGGGAATCGCGCCTCGCAGCCGCCACCAGGGGGCGCCCGCGCCTCTGTGTGGGTGTGACGTCATGGTCAGGACACCGTCATTGTGACGTAATCTTCAGTGACGTCAACGCTGCCGTGCGTCCCCAGCGCGGCACCCCCGAGCCCCGCAGCGCCGGGGCCACGCCCATAATGGGAGCTGGGAGGGGCCGGGGGCAGCAGAGCCCCTGTGGAGGTGGGTGGGAGGACAGAACTGGCACAGTGACACAGGACCGGCACACGGACATGCACAGTGGGAGCAGCCTCTTTACTGGCACCCAGCGGGGCTCAGCCCTGCGGGGTCCCCCGCACTGGGGGACGTCAGGACGCCCCGGCCCCTCCATGGAGCCGGATGGGCTCGGTGGGCTCGGTCCCGCGCTGGTCTGTCCGCCGGCTCTCGCAGGGCAGTGGTGGACACGGACCCTCCCAGGGCCGTGCAGGACTGCCCCTCACAGGTGGGGGTCGTGGCCGGCCTCTGGGCGCAAGCGCTGCTGCAGCAGGTCCCAGGCCTTCTGCACCTGCCAGAGAACCACCCGGGGCAGCACCTCAGAGCCCACGGACCCCGAGAGCAGCACCTTGGCACAGGGTCACACAAGGGTCCCATGCCTCCTCTCCCTTCCCAGCTGCATCTACATCCCCAAATCCCTCCCTTGTGGCCGTGTCCAGAGGCAGCCTCGATGGTGAGAGCACACCCAGGCACACAGTGCCCAGCCCAGGCACAGCACTGAGCCCTCTGGTCCCCCAGGACACCTCCAGTGCTGCGGCAGCCCCGGGCTCACCTGCTGCCGGGTGACATCTGGCTCCCAGAGGGTGCAGAGCACCACCTGTGCCCACTCCACCCGCTGCCTGTTGGTCATCTGGCTCTGCAGCCGGCAGCGAGCGGCCTCCTCGCTCAGCCCATCCCTGGCCACAATGCGCCTCACGGCCTGGCAGGGACAGAGGGGACACTCAGGGGAGGCTGAGGACCAGCTCTGGCAGCGAGCGAGGGGCCCAGGGCATGGCTCACCTCCTCCTCTGGGATGATGGCCGTCCACACCTCATGGACCATGTTCTGCCACCCGGCCTCCAGCAGCACAGCAGCATCCAGCACACACACGGCCTTCCCTGCGGAAGAAGGGCATTCCTCAGTGCCTGGCCATGGATGGAGCGATGGCTCCTCAGCTCTGGCCCAGCCTGGGCTCAGCTTCCCCCTTCCAGCAGCACAGACACTTCACTGCTGAGCTGAGGCTGCAATGGAGCTGCCCCCATTACCTTGAGAGTCGGCCTCCCGGATCTGCTCCCTCACCATCCGGGCTATCTCAGGCCACACAATGTCTGTCAGGCTCTTCAGCCGCTCCTACAAAGGACCAGGGCAGGATTCAGGATTTGGTCCTTTACCCTCAGAACTCCTGGGCAGCCAACGAGGGGATGGTGGCTGTCAGCAGTCAGGGGGCACCCAGGAAGGTGGGGGGGTATTATTTTCCTTGCCCTGCCAGGCATAGCAGACCCTTGGTCTCTGCTGCCCCTCAGCACAGTGAGGTCCCAGTGCAGCAGCACCCACATGAGACCCATCCACCCAGGGGACCCCTCAAGCTGCCTCCACCTGGGGCTGGGGCAGCACCGGAGCCACAGGCTGAGCACTGGCCCCACCAGCAAGGTCAGGTGTCACTGAGCTCCCTCGGGTACAAGGGGCAGAGAGCACCAGCTCCACATACGTCAGGGCTGTTGCTCCACACTGGGTGAAGGAAAAGCATGGGATAGAGGGGACAGGGATGGGGAGACAGCAGCAGCTGCAGGGCAAGAGGACTATGTCCAGCACAGCTGCTGACTCAGCTACAGAGACAGATCTGTCCTGCCCTGTCACTGACAGGAAGTGTAGCCAGGAAGGTGTCATCAGTTCAAAGGACTGAAAACTAAAAAGCCTCAACAGAAGGGGAGAGCTCCCCTGGCTCATGGGATTAAACACTGAGTCTCTGTGCTGCTTCTACCTGGTTTCCAAACACTTTGGCCCCAAGGACTTTCCTGTTAATCGTCCCATCTTCATTCAAGATCTCTGCAAGACAGAAGAACAACAGGTTTGGCAGGAACAAACCCAACTCCCATCCCTGGGGCAAGCCTGGGTCAGGGAAACATCTTTGGCACAGGGCTCTCAACAGGACACAGAAAGGGCCTGTAAGATCTGACCTGGCAGCTCTTCACCTGACTCATGAAAAGGACAGGGGAGAGCTCATCCCAGGCAAACAGCAGCCCAGTTCAGCCTTCCCCACCAGCAGTTCTGACATGGGACACATGACATTTGGGGAGCCCAAAACCCATGGGACAGGAGGGGGACACAGGCCAGGGCTCCTTGGGATGTTGGGACACCCCTCCCTCCCCCTCCTCCTCCCAGTCCTTCCCACAACCTCTGGTGGCTCTACCTGCCCCAAAGGCTGCCACTACTTGCTCGTAGGCCGGGCCACCAGGGACATAGACGGCGTGGCCCAGCTTGTCGGCATCGATGACAAAGGCGCCCAGGTGCCCCAGGAGTTTGGCGATGGAGGTTTTCCCACTCCCAGTGCCCCCAGTGAGCCCAATCACATACGGGCGTGATGGCAAGGCCGGGTCTCGCTAAGGGAAGAAGGAAAGCCATGGCAGCAAACGGAGGACTGGGCTTTGCTGGAGAAGGATCCCAATGCCCCAGCCTGGAGATGGGCATGAAAGGATCTGGCCTGCAGAGCAGCAAGAGCATTGCCAAACTGTGGATCCCAAGATTCCCACCCCTCCTCCCGGGCACACTGCTCCCATCACAGCCGTGGTTCTCCCTCACCCGTGGGGGCTGCAGCAGCGTCCCCAGCAGCCTCTGCCGGAGGCTGGAGGAGCTGATCTTCTCCTCCTCGTTCTGTTGGTGGTCAGGGTCCTTCATCAACTGGATCTCATGGAGAGCCAGCTCAGGGAGCCCCTGAGGAGAGAAGGAAGCCCCAAGTACCATCAGCTGTAGGAGTGTGGCGGGTGAAGGGGAGAACTGAGACCCGATTTGCCCCCAGGCAGTGGCAGGCAGGGGCGAGAGGGGGGCAGGGGCAGCCCTGGGCTCTGGCGCGGGAATTACATGTTCAAGCCTCTTCCTATTCACAGCCTCCCCTCCCCGGCGGGTCTCCTCGCTGACCACCAGGCACTGCAAGTCGGGGTCTGTGACTGAGGGGCCGAAGGGGTCGGCCAGAGGCACGATGTCGTAGCTCAGCGAGGGCTTCACATCCTCCAGGAACTCGCGGAGCTTTGCTGCCCGCAGCTCGTAGGGCTCGATCAGCTCCGGCAGAACCTTGTCTACCAGGTGCCGGGAGGGTGGGGAAGCACAAGAGTGACAGAAAAACAAGACCAGGAGAAGGGAGACAAAACTCGTCCATGACTTTGAGTGGCTACTCCCTCCTGCCCTTGCTCCCGCTGCACCCACACACCTTGCTAGCTGTGGACAGGACACCAGGTCCCCACCGGGTACCCGGTGTCACCTTGCCTGGGTGGCACCGCTTTGGGTGGGTGGCTGCCAGGCTCCCCCGTGTCAGCGGTCCCCCAGATCACCGCCCTGCCCCGGCCAGCACCGGGCTGACCCCTCGGTCACCCCGGACTCACGGCGGAGCAGGTCTCCGTCGGCCACCCCAGCCAGGAGCCGCCGCCGGGCCAGGAGGCAGCAGGCGCTGAGCAGGAGCCGGTGGGCGCCGTGGAGCCGGTCGAAGGTGCCGCCGACCGCCACGTCCAAGAATTCGGGGAGCGTCGCGTCGGGATCCTGCTCGGGGTCCCCCTCGGGGTCCCCGCCGCCGGTGTCCTCGCCCAGCAGCATCGCGGGCAGGCTCGGCGGGCAGCCGTACACGGCCGCGGCCAGGCGCTGCAGCCCGAGCTGCACCGGCTCCGGCGGCCCCGGCGCCTCGGCGGCGGCCGCCAGCAGGACACGGGGCGGCCGTGCCAGGCGGCGGCCGGGGCCGAGCAGGACGCGCAGGTCCAGCCCCCGCCGCGCCGCCGCCGCCTCGTACAGCGCGGCCAGAGCCCGCAGCAGCGCGGGGCCCGCGGGCGGCGCGGCGGGGCCGGGGCCGGCGGGGCCGCTCAGCCGCAGCCCCGGCTGCAGGTGCACGTACAGCGGCCCCGCCACCAGCCCCGCCGCCGCCGCCACCAGCCCCGCCGCCCGCCGGGGCAGCGCGGGCAGCGGCGCCGTCAGCACCAGCAGCCCCGAGGGGAAGGGCGGCATCGCCCCGCCGGATGCGCCGCCGACCGGAACGGGGACGGGACCGGCACCGGAACGGCACCGCCTCCCGGGCAGCCCCGGCGCGGCTCCGCCCGCGGGAGGAGGAGACCGGCAGGCCCGGCCCCAGTGCGGCCCCGCCCGGCCGAGACTGAGCGACAGGGACGGAACCGGAGCTGTGCGGATGCAAAGGGCTTTATTGGGGACACGGCAGGACCGATCCCGCACGGCAGCGGGTCCCGGTGTCCCGGCGGCTCCGCTCAGGGCTGGTCCCCGCTGACTTCGCTGCCGCCGAACACGAAGTCGTGCATGGCGCGGACGTACGCGGAGCCGTCGGGGCTGCCGAGCCGCAGGCGCCAAAGCGGGGCGAGGAGCTGGGTGCTGGCGCAGCGCAGGGGCGGGCAGAGGCTGACGATGGCCTCCAGGAACACCTGGCACCGCAGAGGGGTCAGAGCCGTCTCCGGCGCGGCTCCACGGCCACCCCCGTCCCGCGCGGACTGACCGGCAGGACGTCCTCCACCTCCTGGGCCGTGTCGCGGAAGAGGCTTTGGCAGTGCCGCAGGTATCGGCGGTACAGCCCCCGCGTCTCGGCGTCCAGGCCCTCCAGCTCGCTGCCCTCGGGGTCCGGGCACTGTAGGTTGGCCAGGAAGCTGGTGTGGACGGGCCCGCACTCCACCAGTGTCACACTGCGGGAAGGAGCGCGTGAGATGACACCGTATCCCGGCCCTGGCATCTCCCCGTCCCGGTGGGCGGTCTGCAGGATCCAACCCCTGCGGCACCGCCGGCACTCACTGGATGTTGAAGGGGCGCAGGACGATGGCCAGGCTCTCGCACAGCCCCTCCACTGCAAACTTGCTGGCGCAGTACACGGCATTGAAGGGTAGCCCTGGGGCAGAGCCGCACCCTGAGCACCGGGGCTCTTCCCCGCGGCTCTCCACGCCCCAGGGTGCCGGGTGTCCCACCTTGCAGCCCCCCGATGCTGCTGGAAACAATGATCCGCCCGGCCCTGCAACGCTTCATGGCGGGCAGGAATGCCTGGATGGTGCGGACGGCCCCAAAGAAGTTCACATCGAAGAGGGTTTTCATGGCCTGATCGGAGCAGGTCTCCAGAGGTCCCATCAGTCCCACCCCCGCGTTGCAGACTGCTGGGCAAGGTGCAGTCAGCCAGGCACTGCAGCCCCCCCACACCACCGAGTGCTAGAAGGCAGGAATGGGGGGGCCTTTCCGTGCTGATGAGCCCTTGGCACCCCCAAACCCATCTCCTGCACGCCTGCCCCACTGAACATGTGCCAGCCCCAGGATACTGGCATCTCCCATGATTTGGCATCTATATTCTGGGAGGCTTGTGACCCTGGAGATGTCCCCCCAGCCACCCAAGGGACAGCGGGGGTAACGGGAAGAGTCATACCCAACACGTCCAGGCGCTGCTCCTGCACCCGCTGCACGGCGGCTGCCAGTGAGTGTGGGTCAGTGACATCGAGCTGCAGGACCTCCAGCGTGTCAGGGCAGTGGCTGCCCAAGTGCTCCAGCAGCCGCTCGCCCTTGGCCAGGTCACGCATGGTGGCGTAAACTGAGGAGAGAGCGTGGCCGTGGGCAGCGAGGCCACAGAGCCCACCCCCCACAGGGCTGACCCCAGCCCACCCCCAGGCACTGTCTGTCCTTGTTGAGGTGTTGCCTGGCCCAGCCCAGAGACCCCCAGGGGTGCTGGACCCCCCAGGGCAGCATTGTCCCTTTACCTTTGAACCGGCGAGTGCTGTCGGCCGCCAGGCGTGCGGCCAGTCCCAGCCCGATGCCCGAGGAGCAGCCCGTGATCAGCACCGTGGTTCTCTCCATGGCAAGCAGTGCTGGCCGAGGGGGCCGTGCTGCTTAAAAGGGCTGGGAGGGGGGTCCCTCCACCCCACCCCACATTGTTGTGTCTGCTGCCTTATCTCAAGGCCCCTCCACAGACCTCCCTGCGCGTGCCTGGGGCTCCCTGCGCCTTGGTGCTCTCGCAGGTGCTGCGATAACGACCTGCAGGGGGAGGCTCTGGGGCACAAGGGGAGCCGCAGCCCCGGGGAATCCGCACCAGTCACCAGTCACGCTGTGCTGTGCCAGGCGCTCCAGCTCCCAGGACTTGCCTGGCAATGCATTATTCCTGCTATGTGGGCTTAGAGCCAAGCTGCTCCTCTACCCCTTGTGTTCCACACAGTCCTGCACTGGGGAGACGAGTTGGACACGCATAGGAGAATAAAAGTCTTTATTTGCTCCACAGCTGGGCTCTACCTGAGCTCCAGCTGGAGAAAAGGCCTCAAAAACCACATCCTGATGGAGCACGGCCCCAGCAATGCTGCAGGAAATGCCACTAAGTCTTTTATGATACAGAAGGCACCAAACATGGGCAGGGCCATGCAGTACTGGGTCCCCACAGGCACTGGGGTCCAGGGCTGCTCTGCCCCCACACCACTGCCACCTCCCTGTCTGCTTCTCCACCATCACTGCCCCTGCAAGCCAGCCAGGGCCCCACAGCAGGGACACGTCTGTCCTGACCCTCTGCAGAATTCCCCCAAGCTTCCAACTGGGAGCACTGGGGCAGCCCAGCTTTCCAGGGTATAGGCTCAGGGCAGACAGGCAGGGCTGGGCACAGAGCACAGTGCAGGATGTGTCCCTGGGGCACAGCCTGCCCCTCATCCATCTGCTAGCCCCCCTCAGGGCACGTTCTGCCTACACAGGAGAAACAAGGGGTCTAGGCTGGCTGGGTACCACTAGGGCTCTGTGCCCCCCTTCCAGTACAGCCAGGACGCAGCCATCAGGTCAGGAGTTGCAGGAGCCTTGACCAGGAGGGCACGAGGGCTCTGCCCTCCCTTCCTCTCCCTTCCTGGAGGAGGCTCCGGAGGCACAGTCCAAAGTCATGCCAGCCCAGCCCGGCTGCGCCACAGGGCACTGGGGTAGTATTTGAGGAACAGCTTCCTGGAGATCTCCAGTGTGTCCCCAGCTGGCACGGCCGGGTAGTGCTTCTTGTTGTAGACGAAGCCTCTCTCCACTTGGAAGACAGCCTGGTTGAACTCGTCCTGGTGGAAGGGGCGGCCCGAGTTGAGGCTTTCCACCAGCACAGAGACGAAGAGGCTCCAGCGCACTCCATAGTAGTCCAGCACCAGCCCCCCCAGCTGCTTGTTGGCATAGTCCAGGATGTTCCCACTGGGCCCCCAGAGTGTCACCTGGTTCCGGGCGTTCAGCTCGTACTGCTCTGCCTCCCGGTCGCTGGTGGCCATGGCACGGGCACTCTCCAGCCAGCGGCCGAGCAGGAAGAGGCTGTGGCTGGAGAGGAGGCTGTCCAGCTCGGGCAGCAGGTCGTACACCAGCACGCCACCGGCTGTCAGCAGCTCTGGCAGTGCGTGCCTCTGGAAAGCGCTGCGGATGTCCAGGTAGTAGTTGCTCACCAGCTGCTGGGCCGCCTGCCGCGTCACGTCCACCAGGTCGTAGCGGAAGAGGGGGCTGGAGCCCAGCTCGGCGCTGGCGCTCAGCAGCAGGCGCCAGGCCTCGTACACATCGCTGGCGTTGTACCAGAGCTCTGTGTCCATGTGCAGCGAGGGCCGGCGCACCAGCGGGCTGCGGTTGTGGTTGACGCAGACGCCGGTGCAGTTGTACACGCTGCGGAGGAGCAGGCGCCAGGCGCCGGCTGCAGCAGCGTTCGGGGCGCCATAGCGGCGCTCGGCGTAGCGGGACACCCAGCTGGGGAGGTCGAGGGGCTCCTGCCGCCAGCCCAGCTCATTCATCAGCTCGTACACCATGTCGTTCTGCTCGATACCCTCAGGCACCAGCCCCGTGCCCACCATGGTGGAGTTGGGGAAGCGCTGAGCCATGAAGGGGCCATGGTTGATGGCCTCCACGGTGCCAAAGAGGCCGTGGTTGCCCCCGAAGTTGTGCAGCATGCACCAGATGAAGGGTTGCCCGTAGAAGGATTCTGTCCACTGGTAGACAGGTTTGGACTCAGCAAAGAGGTCAAGAACAATCATCTTGCCGAGGGGCACACCGTGCAGGAGGGCCCGCACCTGTGCCGGGTGCCAGAAGTCTGGCTGGTGCTGGAAGAGCCAGCCCTGCATCAGCCACAGCGCCTCGGGGTCAGCTGGGGATGGAGGAACACAGGGTGAGGTCCCCTCCAGGCAGGGCCCACAGGTGTCCCAGGAGGCCCTGGGGCCACCAACCACCCCTCGTGGAAGGGGCTTTGAGGGTCTGGCACCAACGGGGTCTGTCGAGCACAGGCAGCTCAGCGCTTGCATGGGGCCCACAGCCTCCTTCCCCAGCCCCAGTTATCCCACCTGGAGCCTCACAGCTGGGCCAGCACCGCACACTGACCCACCTCCTGTCATCGACCTGAAGACAGCATTGCTGACCCTCGAGAGATAGGCAGGGTCAGAGGAGAGGGGGGTCATCTCATTGAAGGTGTCGGCACTATAGACGTGGTCTGTGCCGAATTCCTTGATCAGCTCCTTCAGGAAGAGGGTCCCGATCACCTGGAACATGGGGTCCTCCGGGTCCAGCAGGTAGATACATGAGTAGGTGCAGTCGAAGTGGCTCCAGCCCCCCAGGCGAGTGGCATTCACACGTGGGAAGACCCTGCGCCAGACGGTAGAGATGGGGATCAGGAACAAGGCAGGACAGGAGCACTGTGCCCCTGCAGGGACAGTGCACCCTCTCGGGGAAGCTGCAGGTGGGAGGTGCTATAGGTGCCATTATGCCGAAGGTGTGACCCTGGAAAGGGTCCAGGGCAGAGCGAGGGCAGCACCTACCGAAGGATCCCCTGCGGCACATGGCCCGCGAAGGCTGGCAGCACTGTAGTCATCCCCAGCGAGCGCATCCGCTCCAGGATCCGGTACTGGGAGAGAGAAGGAGGGAGAGAGCAGGGAGAGAGGAGCCCACGCCTCCTTGCGAGGGGCTCCAAGAGCTGCTGGAGCTCGGGGAGGGACACGGGGGTCCTCGAGGCTCCCTGAGTGCGGCCAGGGCACGGGGTGGCAGGGGTCTGCCTCGGACAGGCATGGCTGCCCCGGTACCTGCAGGTAGAGCTGCTTGAGGTGCCAGGCAGGCGGCAGCGGTCCGGCCCAGCGGCGGAGGTTCCCCATCCTGTTCCAGGCCAGGAACGCGGGGCCCGTGAAGTACTTGTCGATCTCCGACTGGTTCAGCCCGAGGTTGCGGTAAACCTGCGCCGGGCGCCGGGCGTCAGCCGGTCCCGGTGTCTCCCGGTCCCCGCCGCCCTCCCGGCCCCGCTCCTCACCCGCTGCCACACCGCCTCCTGCCCAGCGAAGGCCGGCGCCAGGTTGATGCCGCTCAGCGCCATCCAATCGATCTCCCGCTCCCAGCGCGCCCAGTCCCACCAGGCGAAGGAGTAGCTCTGGGCGCACACGTTCTGGTAGTAGCGGTACCTGCGGGAGCGGCGGAGGCTGCGCCCGGGCCGCCCCGCGCCCCCGGGGCCCCCGTTACATAACGGCGCCTTGTCCCGCGCTAACGAGGCGTGAGCGGCGCCGCGCGGCCCCGCGGCCCCGTTACCTGCCGTTACCTGCCGGGGGCGGCGGCGCGGATCTCGGCCCGCAGCCGCGGCAGCGGGTCGGGCAGGCGGAGCTGCGCCCCGGACCAGGACAGGTGGCAGCCGCAGAAGTCGCGCAGGTAGCGGTAGAGGCCGGCGGCCGCCGCCACGCCGCTGGAGCCCGTCACGGCCACGGCCACGGCGGCGCCGGGCGGCGACCACAGCCGGTACGCGTCGGGCCCGCCCGCCGCCAGCGCCGGCTCCACCGACAGCGACACGGCGGCGGCCCGCGGGCCGAGCAGGCGCCGCGCCAGCGCCCGCACCGCCGCCTCCTGCCGCGCGTCCCCCGCCCGCGCCGCCGCCGCCGCCAACAGGAGCAGAAACGGCAGCGCCAGCCCCGGTGCCGGTCCGGGTCCCAGTCCCCGCCGCGCTTCCATCGCAGCTTCCTTCCCCTGCGCCAGGCCCCGCCTCTCCCGGTACCGTCCCGCCTCTCCCGGCCCCGCGGCGCTGGGCGGGCCTGGCGGCGGGGCCGGGCCTGAGCGGGTACCGGGCACAGGGCGGAGCAGGGTTGGTTCAGTGGGCGGGCTCCGGCCCCTCGGAGCGGGGACATACCGGGCCAGGGCTGGGGACAGGCGCTGCCTGTGCTCCGGGGCCACCGCGGCCCCTTCCCCGCCCGCTTAGGGGGACCCCCGCGGGACGGGACCCCCGCCGGGGCTGCCCGGCCGGGGCGAGTCTGGCACCGGCAGCTCCGGACATTTCGCGTTTCCCACCCGTGACGGCTCCCCGCCCCTGGGGCAAACCGGGCCGGGGCGGTCCCGGAGCATCCGCCAGCCCGGGCCCCGCTCCGGCCGGGCGGGGGCGCTGCGAGACCGGGCAGCGGGGCCGCCGCCGGTGCCCCGGGGCCGGGGAACGCCCCGGCTGCCCCAGCACCGCGCGGAGCGGCCCCGGGCCCGGCCTCCCCCTCCGCCCCGAGGGGCCCGGGCCGGACCGTCGGGAGGGAACCCCGCCAGGGAGCGGGGCGGGCTGCCGGGGTCTCTCTCAGCTCCAGGGCCATTCGTGGGCACTGCCAGGACAGAGCCCGGCTGCGGGGCGGTCCGGGGCACGGGCGGGGGAGAGCGGGGCTCCCCGAACGTCCCTAGCTCAGCCTACGGGAGCCCCCAGGGCTGCCCTGTGGCCCCGGAGCCATGGAAACGGGCAGAAATATTGTGATTGCACTCGGGAGTGGTGCAAGAGCGCAGGGGAGCGGGTGAAAGAGGAGAGCATCCCCCGGGACTGCCGGTACCCATAGCGGTAGGAGAGCATCCCCCGGGACGGCGGGGAGCCGGCCCCTCGTCCG